CCCGAAACCCTAAACCCTAAACTTTGGCCCTAAACCCCAGCCACAACCCGAAAGGGTTTAGGAAAGTTTAGGGCTCAGGGGCCTAGAAAAACATGCAGCCGGCAGGTGTGGCAAGACTGGTCCAGATCTGCTGTTCTACGTCATCTACCCGTAATCTAGGGGCCTGGTTACTTGGAATAGGGTCTTGGAGTATAGAACCCTTCGGGAACCCTGAACCCTAAACCCTACAGCCTAAACCCTAAGGGAAGTTGTTAAGAGCCTGTTTAGGGATTCCGTTTGGGCTTTCAAGGGTCCTGTGGAGGAAGAATCCTAACCTCTCGGGCTTCGGGGCTCTTACCAGAGGCTTTCAAGAGTTTCGCGCGATTCGATGTGGGGGATCCTGGGGTCGAGGTGACTTCGATTTTGGAGTTTAGGGCGTCTGGCGTCGTGCCAAAAGAGTAAGGTTAAGGGTTTAAGGTTTAGGGCTTAGGGCTTAGACTTTGAGCTTTGCGCGCTTGGGTGCTTTGGGGTTTGGGGTTTTGGGGTGTTCGAGGCACTTCGGAGTATTCTTGAAGCACAAGGGTTGAGGAGAGGTTTCAAAGGTTGTGATGCAGCAAGTGGAGGAATCACACTCAGCCCCAAACGGCTTGGCATTTCGGCGCGGAATCACCGAAGCACTTCAGAATCGGGGTTGGGCAGAGGTGATGATAGGCTGTTTAAAAGCTACTACAAGGCATCTCTATAAGAGTTGCACTACAAGGGTTGCTAGAAGGGTTTTCGGGTTTGCTCTAGTTTTAAGGCCTTCGAAGCTTCACTTTGGGCTTACCTTCGGGGACTCTTGGTTCGGGTGCATTGAATGCTTGACGTGTGGGGCACACCAAGAAGAAGAAGAACAAGAACAACCGCAGAAGCTGTAAAAAAAAACAAAAGAAAGAGCAACCACACATGGAACAACTACGACAGGTACAATACCAGCAACGGCTGTGCTAGCCCAACACGAGCAAAGCGGGTGGAAAAAACTACACGTGATGGTGATGGTGATCAGGGGTGATGAGGGTGAATGATATGAAGATTATGGAGGCATCCATGGTCAAGACGACGAGGATGAGAATGATGCTCACTGCCCAGTGATTGTGACTTCGACGGCGACGGCGCGGGATCCACCCCAACAGTCTACATCTGCAAAGCAAAAGACTATATGATCATATCGTTTAGGCAAGCAGCGTGGTGAGAGCTGTAGGAACCGCGCATCTTGTAGTGGCCCCCCATTTTGTGCGAGTGGCCACTATGATGGTAGGAGTGGTAGCCACCGTGCTCGTAGTGCGAGGATCCACCATGGTGGTATGAGCCCCCGACGGTGTACGAAGAGCTGCCATGGTAGCCATCATCTTGGTAAGAGCCCCCCCAAGGTGGCCTAATCCCATGATGGGAATGATGGTAGGTGTAAGAGGAATCACCATCGTGGTATGAGCCCCCGAGGGTGTACGACGAGCTGCCATGGTAGCCACCGTGATGGTAGGAGGAATCACCATCGTGATATGAGCCCCCGACGGTGTACGAAGAGCCGCCATGGTAGCCATCATCTTGGTAAGAGCCCCCATAAGGTGGCCTAATCCCATGATGGGAATGATGGTAGGTGTACGAGGAATCACCATCGCTGTCGAAGTCTCCCAGGGTGTAAGCAGAAGAGCCAGCACCCTGGAAAGAGCCTCCCTGGTGGTAGTAGGAACCACCGTGATAGTGGGAGCCTCCATACGAGCCGCCCTGGTAGGAGGATCCAAAGCTTCCTGAGTGCGAAGAGCCTCCGAAATGGTGGGAGGAGCCACCTGACAGAGACCTTGCCCTGCCGACATAGCACTGGGCCTTAGCCGGGCAATGCAAGCTTGAGTGGGTCTGCCAAGAAAGCCTGAAACTCACCGCTCCCTCCCTCCCTCCCTTTCGCTCTTTCTGTCACGAATTCAAGCCTGTAACGAATTCAAGCTTCAAGCATACCGACACACTGGCGGGACAGCCAGACAGCAGACTACAAGCCTTCGAATGCCCAAGAAATTCGCTTGAAGTTGAAGGTTGAGGGTCCTCACGAACCCGGGGACAGAGTGTTGGGTTCTGGGCTTCAACGCGATTTCAGCTCAGGGGCTTATCAAAGGCAGAATAAAACCCCTAAAGGCTTCATGCAGCCGGTTTAGGGTTTAGGGTTGAGGGTTTAGGGTTTTACAGGCCTAGTCCTAAATAGAAACTCCGTCTCAGACTATGACCCCAAGATTGGGCTCAGCAGGCTGACAAGCTGGGGGGATTTGGCTTTCACAGACACGCAAGCAAGGCGATGGGCGAAGGATCCTCATAAGGGGGCCTTAAGAATTAGCATAGGGTTCTGGGGCCCCCTTAAAGCTCTGATTCTACTGCGAAACCCCCGATCCTGGTAGTGGTGATGATTTAGGCCTCCGATATTCGTCTATCCAACGAGGCTGTGAAACTCCTCGTGTAATGCATGAGTTGCGCCCGAACCATAAACCCCAAAACCGACGACCGTAAATCCTTGAATTTCTCTCACACCGACTCTGCGGCGCTGACATGGCAATCGCTCGAAGGGAAGGCGCCAAGCTTTACCGGTCGACAGGCTCCACCCGACGCCTGGGTTTACTTGAACGGGCCAAATTGATCAGAATAGGGATTTGGAGTTTGTTATACTGTACAGGAATAGTACTTGCAATTACTCAGGCTTCTATTTTCGGGTTTAGGGTCTTGTTTGTTCTCTGTGCTGTGCTGCACTGTGTTGATATCTGCTTTCTCATGGTCATTTTTGGCAGCTCTTCCTTTCACAGCCGATTGATGACTTAGTGCTTAGGGTGTCTAGATGAAGGTTTAGGGCTTATGGCTTAGGGTGTCTAGCCCACAGGCTCTATTGTTTTGTGTATCACTTTGTTGACTGAGCGTGATGCTCCTGTTTGACTTTCACTGTCGATTATCTACATTGGTGGCTCCAGTTGCTCATTGTCTGCGATGAATCGTACAAGTACGCATCTTGCTGCTGTTGGGCGAGTTAACACCCTCTCGCCAGCTGAAGTCTTATCAAAGCTACTGGTCCTGTTCGGTGGTGAATATTCTCCAAATTCCATCGACACTTTGTCACGATGTCCGTGCCGGTTCAATCTATTTTGGCGAACATGTTTAGTGTTACTGCAGTATGCTGACACATCGAAACAATGTTCATATCCTGCTCTTCTTTCGTGTTGCATGCTACGCTACTGCCATCTTAAGCCATGCTCTGGCGTGTTAGATGTGTGTCACTCGCCATGGCGTCGATACTACCAAAGTCAAGAGTATGGCTAGATGTCAGTACACTACTGCAGGGCTGCATTGCTATCCGAGTCTATCTTGATCTTATGACATGTTAATCTCCTGAAAGACTGCACGGATCTTCCTTTCTACTACTGCATTATTGCTGATATGCAATTTCTGACTGTGCCACTAAGCAGCTGAGTAGGTTTTCTGCCGGAACACCTTTCCCTTGTGGTTTTATGACCCTACCAGCCATGTCACTAGCACGTCAACATTTCGTGCGACCACACATACCCTCAAGCCGTTACAATACGAAACGCGAAATCAAGCTGCTACATATAGACCTAACCGCATATAAAGCAGAAGGCTACTTTGCAAAGCTTAAACCCGAAACCCCAAACCCTAAACCCTAAACCCCAAACCCAAAACTCTAAACCCTAAACCCTGAACCCCAAACCCTAAACCCTAAACCCTGCACCCTAATCCGCCGAAAGCTCTTGCGTGTTGCATGGCGCGGCCTTGTAAGCTTTGTCGGAAGTCTGGCGCGCGAGCTTGTGAAGACCTGGGAGATTCCGATACTGTTGTTTGCGGATTTTCGGGCGTTTAAGGGCTTAGGGTTTAGGGTTTAGGGTTGAGGCTTTAGGTTTAAGGGTTCAGGGTTTTAGGGCTTTAGGGCGTGGGGGCGTTAGGTTTTTGGGTTCAGGGTCTGGGGGCTTTAGGGCTTTAGGGCTTTAAGGCTTTAGGGTTTTAGGGTTGAGGGCTTTAGGGCTTTCGTGTTTAGGGTTTGGGGGTTAAGGGCTTAGGGTCTTAAGGCTTTAGGGCTTTCAGGGTTTAGGGTTGCAGGGCCTTTAGGCATTTAACTCGCGATCGTACACTCCGAACTTCCGTTTTCAATAGAGGGCAAGCAACACATATGTTTTTTATGTACACACACACACATATATATATAATACACACACACCCTTTTTTATTTATTTAGTTGTTTTATATTAGATATGTATACATATGTTGCTATCTACGTATCTGTATGTTGAAATCCCTGTCTAGGAAAACCCAGAACCCAAACAAGCAAACAGGCTATCCAAAACAGGAGCAGGCGTACCCTTAAGGAACCGCTTAGACTTAAACCTTAAACCCCAAACCCCTAATCCTTGTAGCAGCCCTTAGAGGAAACCCTCAACCCTAAACCGTGAACCTTACAAGCAACCCTTATAGGAACCCCCTTGAAGAACCTTCAGAGGAAACCAACTACCTTGTGAATGGAATCAGAATCCCTTTTTAGGAACCCTTGAAGGAACCCTTGAAAAACCTTTAGAGGAAACCTGAACCCTAAACCTTAACCCTTACAGTAGCCCTTTAAAGGGGACCCTATTATAGAACCCCCATCGTCCCCTTCAAGGGGGGACCCGATTATAGAACCTTGCAGTACCCCTCACAGGAAACCCCGAACCCGTGGCCGAGAAGCAGTGGTAGCCGCCGGGCGCCTTCGATTTCCAAGCGGCCGGACCTGTTCGGGGCAGAAAAAGAACGAAAAAGGCGCTTCCAGAAGGGATCCAAACGGGCAAACGGGGATCGAGAAGGCTATTAAGGTAAGAAAAGAGGATCCACGAGCGATCTATAGGTATGTCAGGGCTGGAAGGCTTCCCAGCTTTAGAAATCTGCAGAATTCACCCCTAAACCCTAAACCCTTTGTTGGGTCATGGGTGGGTTTAGGGTTTAGGGTTCAGGGTTTAGGGTTTAGGGTTTCTAAACCCTAAACCCTAAAACAGCTTTACTGGGTCATGGGTGGGTCTGGCTTTGGGTCGAATTAAAGGCTTCGGGCTTCCAGATTCCTTGCCCTGGACTCACGTGGATATTGTAGGGGGCCTTTAAGAATTAGAAGAGGGTTTTGGGGGTATATATGGGTATATTACATTAGACTTACAGTAAGGAACCCCCAAAACCCTATGCTAAGCATTAAAGCCCCTACCTTATGACCATTCCGGATGGACCTTAACAGCCCCACGAATGTTACATCTTCTCCGGTAGAGGGCTTCGGGTGGGTTGCGGAGGACTTTGACGGGAACGCATGTGCCCTTGTCGGTTTCGGGTTAATGGGTTAGGCTTCAGCTGAGGTTAAGGGCGTATATACGGAGCATCAGAATTTCCAGAAACATCTGCGGCACCTCAGATCCGGGCAGGCCCCATGGACACAGAGTTCTGTACTGTAGCAGGTTTCAACAATGACAAAAAAGCTCCCCATCGCGGCTCAACCGCATAACATTCACCAACCCAGGAAGGATCTCGGAAACCCGAATTACACCAAGGGCTGGAGACCCTTGGAGACTCTAAGGTGAGGGACAGTTGTTGTCCGAGTGCCCGCATCGTGGAATATCCTCAGCCACGACCGCGGGCTCATGCTTCGGTGCAGGGAGCGGAGTAGAAGGCGGGAAGTTTGGCAGACTAGGTCCCTAAATCCGAACACCAGAAGAACCAAAATCGGGTTTCGGGGTATATTCCACTACACCCTCAGGAGCGGTCTTAGTACCCTATACTATAGGACTCCTACTACAACCAGCCGGCGCGACCTAGATACTGAAATGCATCTGTTCCGGAGACACATGTCTGTCGTAGAAAAATGCAACTGTAGCAGGGCCGTGCTGGGGCATATGGGTTTGGGGTTTAGGGTTTAGGGGTTTAGGGTTTAGGGTGCTTTGCTGCTTTCCAATCGCAGGTTGTTCTGCTGGCTTGGCACGTCATACCCTTGTCGGTGTGTAGCAGAGCGTGAGTTGACATGGAGGGCTGCTGAGGCTGCTGGGCAATAGGGATTCGTTGTGGACTCAAGCCCCAGAAGATATGCTTGCAGTACTGGTTTCTACACTGCCCTAGCTAGAACGTGGCATCGTTAATTCACGCAGGCTTCCACAAGACAGAAACATGACATGCGCATTGCCCAGGCAGTTCGGAGGTTTGCTTGCAGGGCCGTAGTGAGCAGCGGTCCAGGATTCACTTCACAATGGTAACATCAAGTCTATGTGCTCCACGTGACCCTACCCCCAACGTTACTACCCGCGAAACTCCACCACCCATGCAAGCATTAGCACCTATATGTCTTGATGCAGCGACGTGGCCGAAGTGGCCGAAGTGGCCGAATGGACCCAATGGCCCACATGATGTCCAACATGGACGACGTGATGGACAACGTGATGGACAACCGGTTCAGAAATCCCTTCCATCGTGCTGTCATCGTACACCTCCAGGGCTTTGCACTCGAGGGTTTTGGATTTTCGGGAGACGAAGTTGAAACAAGTTCCTCTTGAAGTGCAGGGTTAGGGCATGTGGTTCGGAGTTTCATAGGCTTACAGTGCTAGAAGGTACGGCTGCTTCTTTGGGGTGTGCATGACCCGGGCGCTGTGCTGCAGGGCGCAAGGCTCTGGCGGTGCAATTGTCATGCTCACAATCGCAGAGCTGAGTAGAAGGTCCAACACAACTCTGTTAAGGTAGTATGCAGCTGCATAGACATAGAACACACAAGCAATACCCTGCAACTACTCACAATACCGTCTCAAAAAATCTATATATTCAGACATCCTGTACGAGCAAAC